TATACATATATTATAGTATTATAATATATAATCTAGTATATACTATACATACTATACTATAGTATACTATATACTATTACTAGTATATATATATACCAACCTACACGCGTACATGCCTGGAAAGTTTGACTGGCCGTCAACATTTCGAAGCACAGGATACCCAGAGACCACCAGTCGACTGAGATGCCATAAGGCTCGTACTTGAGAATCTCTGGTGCAATGTAATCCGGGGTGCCACAGAAGGTACTGTATGATTTGGAGGGAAAAGGGTGTTGGAAAACCAAGTTTGTATCTTATTGTAGGACAGTCGAGGTTTTAAAAAGTCAGGGATTAGGGATTTAAGAGTTTATGCGTTTAGAGGTTTCAGGGTTTATGCCGTTTAGGGGTTTCAGAGTTTATGCGTTTAGGAGTATAGAGATTTAGGCGGAAAATTCCCGACACTTAATCGATATGATAAATACATCCACGCCTACGAGCACAGCAATCAAGACCGCGATAGTCACCGACAAGAGCTATACTAGAAACAGTGTTGACGTACATTCTTAAAGATAGATCAACAAAAATATAATTCAAACAACTCCCATTATACTATTCACGAGTAAACAATCATGAATTTCCAAACAGAATACACTGTACAAGCATCACCAAGCAGTCTTCGAGATAGGATCCAACATTCATATACTTTGGTCGATTCAAATAAAACCTTACCTGGTGAAAGGGTTCTCAGGGGTGATACCCTCCTTGCACATTCCAAAATCAGCCAGTTTGACATGGCCAGATGAGTGCAACAGCACATTGTCCAGCTTCAGATCTCTGGGTTGTTTATGATTTTTTTTTTGGGGAAACAGAATACGCTAGTTTAGAAAGCGATGTGCGACACAGACGGCAGTATAATGTGCGGATTTCACCCTGACAATATATCTTCGGGCTTGTCCGTGTGTCGAACACCAAATACACAATATACGACAAGCTACCTACACAGCGTGACACCTGACAGAGTTGTTATTCATGGGCGATGAAGGCATACCGGTAGATTACACCGATGTTGTGCAAGTAGTCTAAGGCGAGCACGATCTCGGCCATGTAGAAACGAGCCCGAACTTCGGGGAAAGCGCCGTCGCGGATCACGTGGAACATGAGATCTCCACCATTGAGGTACTCCATCACGAAAAATAGACGGTCCTGCGTAAACACCAAAGGGGTAACAGTACAGAGAGAACTGAGACTCAATACTGGTAGAGATTAGCAGTCCTCAAGTAATAGACTTCACGCGAGAAATTGGCACTAATCTAACAAAGCACTATGTATATATATATTTCATTGGCACCAGAGCTCAAGACAAACCCAACACGTCCATATAGAAGGTGAAGCAAGTATCTATCAAAACAGTGTGTTTTATACACAAAACCGAATTGAAAATTCATTCGTGTACCCGAGATGTGAAGTCATCCAACGGGACCGAGTACAGAGTTGGTGTGCTAGCTGTCTAATTATTGGTTGACCAATGAAATATTACCTCAGATTGGAAAGTGGAGTAGCAGTGCGCCAAGAATGGACAGCCGTTGGAGACACTCAGCACATTCTTCTCCACCTGTGCGGTAGGTAAGTATAGTAGGTAAGGTAAGCTTAAGTGTATAGTAGGTAAGCTTAAAGTGTATAGTACGTTAGGCTAAGTGCATAGTAGGTTAAGTGCATAATAGGTAAGGATACGCGTTCAGTACGTGATGGATATAAATACTGCTTGCGGGCTTCGGTGTACTGTTCGGTGAATTGGCAGTCATGTTCGTCTCGCTCTGTGGTATAGCCATTCTTTTTGAACACTTCGTCTCTGATCAAAGCATACGCCCTCTTGTACGTGATACTTTTAGCATACCCAATAATTATTATTTAAAATCAATAACTTTCATCACTCGTGGCGGAAATAGAGACGGTACGACCAATGAGGAAGGCCGCATTGAGATAGAATTCCGCTACTGTGCGCTACGCTTACGCTTACGTGATACCCACTGCGTGTACAGCGAGAGTCCACTGCGGCGGAGAGGGATTGTTTTGCAAGCTTTCACGAAGACAACGGTGACAAAAGGTATTCTTACTATAACGGAGTGCTTGGGTTGTGGATATATATATATATATATATATATATATATATATGTTGTGCGATACTCGAAGCTCTGTAATGTGGGCAGGCCTCTGCTACGAGGTGATTAACGTCTAGGAAGACAGGAAAACTCGACGAGAATGAGTAAACAGTCTGAAACGTGAAAGTTGAATTGAAGCAAGGTGATCATTGTATGATTTGAAATGACGACAGTGAACATGCGCTGCCTACATAACTAAAGACATGAATAGAACAGAAATTTCATGTACATATAGACTTTGGAACGACCATCGGGGTGAAAATTAAGCGGTCCAAAAGCGACGTACAAACCTTGACTCGGAATTTTATGTATACATACTTGAAATATATATAATCATTAACGTTAAAAAAATCACCCAAATAGATATAAATACAGAGGTAGCGTACCTTAGCGCATTCGTAGTCATCGTGCTCGACCACGTCCGACTTCTTGATCATCTTGAGCGCATAGACCTTCTTGGTGGTCTTGCGCTCGGCCAACATGACCTTTCCGAACGAACCACGTCCCAGCACAGACAGCAGGTTGAAATCGCGGAGATTGACGTTATCTGTCACACTGGTAATCAGAGAGTTGCTCTCGTTGTTCGCCTTAGCCATCGCCTCGGCAAGCTTATCCACTTGACTGCCGGGCTGGAAGATACCGCACAGAGGGGGCACCTTCTTGCAACACTTCTTGTGCACGTTCATCTTACAGTTGGGATGGGTGCATTGCATACCCTATATTGATAGAAATTGGGTATAGGGGTACATATATATATATTTGAGATTATATCCATCCAAATCGGAGATCAAGATGCATCCGACGACTTGGGCACTACAGGTTAAGAGCAAGAAGATAAAACACAGAAGGGGCACCTTGATGAAGGTTGTTTAGGTGAACAATTGCACCGACTGATACTTATATAGTATGTAGTTGTACCCAGCTGTCGCCCAAACCGGCCCGTACGCACCAAAACGCAGTATCAAGGTGATATACCCGCCCCTGAGTTGGGCGATATGAACAAAGATGCACCTAAATACCGCTTATGCTAATGCATAGCCATATACACGCACATGCTTACGAAGACGAACAGAAATTTGCAGAGGAACTATGTGCGATTACAACCGAGGATACGCATGCACCCGAACTTCGGCTGCTCATACTCAGACGCACCTGCTTGATAGCACCCCATAGGAGAGATCCACAGTGCTCGCAGAAGGTGGGAGACGAGTACGTCTTGGCTTTGAATTCGTGGGGCACATTGCCCAAATCCTGATTCCAATTGAATGCATGAGTAAACATTTGCGCAGAATTTTGCTAACGCACATTTTCCAACCGACGTGACATGTATTACTCGGACCAAACACGTTAGCTTTGTACTTGGTGTCAAAAATGAGCGTATGTATTCTTCCGATTAACCATGCGTAAAAGTGACTCTCCCATAGACAGGAAAAAATATTTTGGCTCTCCTTGCAGATTCTAAATCAACTTTTCGGTTAGACGCATGATACAAGAACTCTGATTGCTCAGTTAGACGCAAATACAAGAATCCTGATTGCTATGCCCGGATATAAGTACGGTTTTAATGGTATGTACAGATACGATACATATAGACTGGCGAATCATGCACGTGATGTAGTATATGCATCTGTACATAGATTTTACTTATCTAAACACGCGGTTCAGTACTAGTTTTTAGATGCTCTCGCAAATTCTTCTGTCGTTTATTGTACGGTATAGTACAGTCGGAAATACAGGTATGTACGCTTAGTCTATACGTGTGTAATTCACATATTATTCAATATCATAGCCAAGCTCGTTCGATTACGAAGAGTGCGCATGTTTTCAAATTTACGTATGCAACTACATAATAGGCACGAGAATGCGTGGTTGACATACCTGCTCCGAGACTGTCTTGGTGCATGCGAATACCACATGGTCGTGACAGCGTTTGTGGACCGCCATATTACACAGTTGACAGAGGTATCCCTGCCGAAGTCGCACAATGGGTGTTGTGGATGAAGATGGCACCATCAGTTCAGAGAGAATCATTGAGATTGTAAGGTGCTCAAGCAAAGTGAAGCAATCGTAATGACTTTCGGACTAAATTCGGAAGGACTCCACGCAAAATTAGAGTCATCTTGCCGATATTTGCAGTAGAACCAAAGGGGCTTCACACACAAACTGTAGCATTCACGTTGGTTTTGGGTAAGTACCTGCTTCCCCACAAGACCCCAGATGAAGTCATTGCAGTGGCCGCAGAAAGTGAACTGATTGAAACGCACAGCCTTGAATCTGCGTGTGAGAAAGCAAGAATACAGGGAATGTCAATGTTTCAAGTAGTTCATTGAAGCTCAAAATAGCGTACTTGCGTGACATACTCGTACGTATATGTTGTTTAGCTATCCCCAGTCGTCAAAACGATCTCCGTATCAACAATCATATACAAAATGTTACCCTGAAATCCTAATGCACATTTTCCATTGGCACGTTTCCCGGACAGGACGGACAGAAATTGAAACGGAGAATACATACTGATGGAAGTGGGATTGATCAAGCTTGCAATAGTTTCAACAGACCCCACAGCTACAAGACAACTTTGCTCAGTCGAAGCCTATTTTCTCTATACGCAAATAGTGTCCAGAAAACACTGGAAAACGCATGCAAACAGAATGATAGCATATATAGGCATGCATATTAAGTCTGTATATACAAACAGTATCTATGCCTATGCATACAAACATTATCTATGTTTATATATGCGTGACTATAAGTGCACACTGTCTATGCTTACATATGCAAACATAGTCTGTCTATATGTACAAACACTATATATACCTATATATGCGAACAGAATAATTGTATAAATATACATATACATACAGTGCCAGTGTCTATGTCTATATATGCAAACAGCATCTGTCAGTATATGCAAGCAGTATCTATGTCTATGTAATAGCCGAAAACAACTTACTCGTGATCATTGATAGTGTGGATCTTTCCTTTACGAACAGCACCTCTGCGCTCCCCTCCCAGTTTGTGATGACCGGTGTTCTTGACTTCCTATTCGTGAGCAGAACAGTTAAGCGAGTAAGTGTGGGTTGGTAAGTAGATGGGTAAGCGGTAGAAGACAATTAGATAACCGTCTAGTATGTGCTGCGTCACGAGAGCAAATACCGGAGAATTGTACACGTTTATTATGTGCAAGTCAGAAAATAAGCCTAAAAATGCAGCAGATTCCAGGCATGGTCCAAAATCTTAGGTTGTAACATAAAATGCTATATCCAAAGGAAAATTAATCATTCAACAATCGCGCGGCCTCATGTATTGATCCTACTTATAACTTGAACAACCGACCGACGATTCGAAGAGTTATTATTGCTATGCACAAGGTACATAGACCGGGCAACCAGCGACTCCACCTATACATACATACATACATA